CAGAAAATTGTAATGGTTTTAAGCATTGCAAAATTAGGATCTTCAGGTAGATGAATTGCAAGTTACAAATAAGTGGACAGGAGAATAAAAGGTCATTGCAAAATTGAGTAATCAAATTTGACAGTTTTACTATACTAATCCTGATATTAATGTTTTCCCCCGATCATCCAAATGAGTAACAAATCGTGTATGCTCTAACCAAAGAAAAGATAAGGAATAATCTCGAGAATGATAGTACGGAAATACAAAAATTTCATAACATGAAACTTAAATATTTTAAAAGCAAAAAATATTTTGGCTTTAACAAGAAGATGTCCATGCTAGCGAGTTATTATATACTAAAACATCTCTATAGTCATAATGGGGACTACCTAATTTTATTACTGTAGAGGTTATAACTTAATGGAGGTATAGTTACAAAAATTATAGTTTTGATTTTTAATTTTATAATTCATGTTTTAGTAATACATATTATGATTTCAATTCATATTTTAGTAATATTAGGATTTCAATTCAGCGCTTCATTACCTACTTTTGAAACGGACAAACGATCGTTTTTTAGAACCAGGAAAAATAAGTGTTATTGGTGGAACTGTAAATGCAGTTGACGTATGATCAATTGATGTAAAACCACAGACAATTGTCAATGGTTTTAAGCGCTGCAAAATTAGGATCACTAATGTCAATGAATTGTAAGTTACAAATGAAGTAAATAAGGAGAATAAAAGAATCACTATAGAATTGAGTGATTAGATTTGATAACTTCACTATACTAATGGAATTGATATTAATGTCTTCTTCGATTATCCAAATGAGTAACAAATCGTGTATGCTTTAACCAAAGGAGAAATCATTGTTGCAATTGGACAATAAGAGAAATGAAATAATCCTAAGAATAATAGTACGGAAATATAAAAAATCTTGTGCCATGAAGCCCTAAACATGCCTGAGAAACTAAAAATATTTTGGCTTTAACAAAAAGGTATCCATACTAACGAGCTATTACGTACTAGTATAGTAAAAAATGTGATAACAACTCTAAAGCATAAATCATTGTCTCAAACAATTTTAAATAAATATTTTATTTTATTTTAAACCTTTAATTTTACATAACTTTTTTTTTTTTTTTTTGTAATATACAGATAATTATTACTATGTAGAAGCAACTTTCCTTGAGGCGTGAATTAGAAAAATTATAACTTATTACAATGTAGAGTTTATTCTTATTTATAACTATCTCAAATTGGGACTAGAATTTTTTATGACTATGTAGAGTTTATTCCTATATAGAGTATCACTATAGAGAGGTTTTACTGTACTTGCAAGATAAAAGATATGGTAACAACTCTAAAATATAAATCATTGTCCCAAACAACTTTAAATAAGTATTTTATTTTATTTTAAACTTTAATGTAACATAACATATATTTTTTGGTAATATACAAATAACTATTACTATATAGAGGTGACTTTCCTTAAGACGGAAATTAGAAAAATTATAATTTATTATAATATAGAGTTTATTCTTATTTATTACTATCTCAAATTTAGATTAAAATTTTTTTTTAAACTATGTAGAATTTATTTCTATATGAAGTATCGCTATAAAGAGGTTTTACTATCCTACTAAAATATGAATTGAAATCCTGATATTGTATTACTAAAACATGACTTATAAAATAAGAAATCAAAACAATAATTTTTGCAACTACAGCTCTATTAAGTTATAAACTCTTTATAGTAATAAAATTAGTTATAAACTCTTTATATAGTAAAACCTCTCTATAGTCATAATAGAGAGGTTTTACTATATATACAAATTATTTTATCCAAATTAATATAATATTACCTTTTTATTGTTGCATTATTCTTCTACTTTGAGAAAACCTTTGGAATTCTTATTTACTAAGTTATCTTTTGATATATAAAATTTTTTTTTTTTTTTTTCTCAACTCTTGTTTAACTTCTTTATTAAATTAATTATTTTAAATGGGTTATGTCGTTCACACTCAAGACTAGACTCAACCTTAATTTAAAATAATTTGCTCAGTCAACAAATAATTCCATACATTTGTATTGTCTTTTTTATATAAAGGAAGTCAAAAAGTAGTAGAAAATAAAGACTTAAAAAGAGTCCTCTTCGTCAACTCAATTATTTGGTTTTGGAAATGAATAAAGATAGANTTGCAATTGGACAATAAGAGAAATGAAATAATCCTAAGAATAATAGTACGGAAATACAAAAAATCTTGTGCCATGAAGCCCTAAACATGCCTAAGAAACTAAAAATATTTTGGCTTTAACAAGAAGGTATCCATACTAACGAGCTATTACGTACTAGTATAATAAAAAATGTGATAACAACTCTAAAGCATAAATCATTGTCTCAAACAATTTTAAATAAATATTTTATTTTATTTTAAACCTTTAATTTTACATAACATTTTTTTTTTTTTGTAATATACAGATAATTATTACTATGTAGAGGCAACTTTCCTTGAGGCGGGAATTAGAAAAATTATAACTCATTACAATGCAGAGTTTATTCTTATTTATAACTATTCCAAATTGGGACTAAAATTTTTTATGACTATGTAGAGTTTATTCCTATATAGAGTATCACTATAGAGAGGTTTTACTGTACTTGCAAGATAAAAAATATGGTAACAATTCTAAAATATAAATCATTGTCCCAAACAACTTTAAATAAGTATTTTATTTTATTTTAAACTTTAATGTAATATAACATATATTTTTTGGTAATATACAAATAACTATTACTATATGGAGGTGACTTTCCTTAAGACAGAAATTAGAAAAATTATAACTTATTATAATATATAGTTTATTCTTATTTATAACTATCTCAAATTAGGATTAGAACTTTTTTAAAACTATGTAGAATTTATTTCTATATGAAGTATCGCTATAAAAAGGTTTTACTATACTATTAAAATATGAATTGAAATCCTGATACTGTATTACTAAAACATGACTTATAAAATAAGAAATCAAAACAATAATTTTTGCAACTACACCTCTATTAAATTATAAACTCTTTATAGTAATAAAATTAGTTATAAACTCTTTATATAGTAAAACTTCTCTATTATGACTATAGAGAGATTTTACTATATATAGAAATTATTTTATCCAAATTAATATAATATTACCCTTTTATTGTTGCATTATTCTTCTACTTTGAGAAAACCTTTGGAATTCTTATTTACTAAGTTATCTTTTGATATATAAAATTATTTTTTTTTTCTCAACTCTTGTTTAACTTCTTTATTAAATTAATTATTTTAAATGGGTTATGTCGTTCACACTCAAGACTTGACTCAACCTTAATTTAAAATAATTTGCTCAGTCAACAAATAATTCCATACATTTGTATTGTCTTTTTTATATAAAGGAAGTCAAAAAGTTGTAGAAAATAAAGACTTAAAAAGAGTCCTCTTCGTCAACTCAATTATTTGGTTTTGGAAATGAATAAAGATAGATTGATAATGTTTCTCACAAACGTGATGTAACGTTCGTAATTGGTTAGTTTGTATTTGGTCAATGTGGACTTATTGTTGGGTAGGCATAACCTATTACGAGTTGACCAATTACAAACTAACACGTCGCGTTTGTGAGAAAAAGTTAGTAAAAGTATTTGTCGGTGTAGTATACCCTTTGTAAATTACAGTACAAATTTCTCACCTATCATTAAAACTCATTCTTCCTATTACACACCTTTCAAAGAAGCTTCTTACCATCTTCCCATTTACATATCTTCTTAACTGTGAAACTTGTTAATTGATATTAATTAAGATTAATTAATGTTTATTTCTTCTATTGACGTTTAAATAACATGAACATTTACGTACACAAGTTTTTATCTATATTTTTGAAGTTAAGCCATTGTTCTTTTGGATTTTATTTTTTCTTTTGGAAAAAAGACTAGGGTTTGAGGAAATAAAGAAGAGAATGAGATAAAGAGAGAAATGAATGTGTTGTGGCGATTATAGAAAGAAATTGATGAGGCTTAAATAACATCGCTCAATGAAATATTTACATAAGATAAAGATTGTCGTTATATAATTAATGTTATAAACAAACTGGGCTTATTCAATTGGAGATCTCTTAAAGATAAAAGTAATTCTTAATGGCCGTGAGAGTGGGCCTGAGCCCACCAGGCCCTATCTTACATATTAGGGTAGTGTAAATATAATGGGCTAAACCAACAAGGATTAACCTAAACACAACCTAACATGGGTGAAACATTTTTATTTTGAAGTTATAACCTAAAATGGAATTTTAATATTAAACCTAAAAAATGTTGTTCAATTTGAGCTCAGCTCATAAAAAAACAACCCAAAAAACAAGAACATTCAACAGTCAAATATTGAAATAACATAGTGTAAGAATGATGGAATTGAGAATATGTAATTATCGTTTTATTATCTTCGTTTCCAACCTCTCAAGTGAAGGGGAAATGAAAATGCATTCTTCACAAAAAATAAGTATGTATAATTACCCTCTAATATGTAATTATCGTCGTTCCCATTGTAAGGAATCCTTTGAAGATTATAAAATCGAAGGGGATCCAGTTAGAAACTCGAGTTTACATTCTAAAGACTATTCAGAAGAATCCAATTTCAAACTCAGGTTTACAAAATCCATATTAAGGATTTCTGGAATATAAACAAAAAACTGAACCAAATTGAACCAATCACTACACTTTAAAGCTCATATTAAACCACTTCAAGAAACCAATTGAACCTAAAGAAAAATTAGATGAACAAACAAATTTATACCCAATAAATATATTGATGTGCTTGTATGCCTTGAGCATTCAACCATCCTCATACTCAAAACTGAGGGTTTTTAACAAAGTGAATTATGAAGAAGACAATAAACTTGATAAAATTTGATACATATATAACTCCAAAACAAAGAGAACTTACTGACCAAGAGTGTCTAGAGTAACATTGAAACATAAGAGACGAGGCTGTAAAATTTTGAGACAAGTATACAATGCCCCCCATATTGACAGGGAATAAATATAATTCATGCTCTCTTAGAAATACAGAAAAAAAAAGAAGAAATAAAACTCAGAATACAAAAGGGAAAAAGAGATGAACCCTAACACTCATAGACGAATATAATAAAGAATTAATGAAAAACCATGTAACAAATGACAATGTGTCAGTCTCCGGGTCTTCTATCTACAACACCCCCAACTTTAGCTTGCTTTCACAAAAATTTTCATCTTGTCTTCGACAAATCCGAACCAACCAACAAAAGAAGCAACGTGCAAAACATTGCATCAGGCATTCGGAGTTGGAAGAGCTATCTCTTCGGCAACTCCACATTTATGATTATGATCTTAAGACCTTGTTTTTATTCATGTATCTTAGTCACAATTCAATCCACATACCTCTAACACGGGGCCATCACGGTTGACAAATGGGTTTATTCTGACCCACAAAAGGGTCAGGATTGAGGCCAGAAGAATAGACCAGACTAAAATGATGGTAGGCATCCGGTCTTGCTTTCCTAGTAACCCCTTGAGGAAGGGATAGAGATGGATGATGACCCAAAGGGCGAAAAATAGCCTACCGAAAAGTGGGCCCCAGGAATCATACCCGTTATTGATGGCATCTGAGACACCGACGATGACCCCGACTATGTTTATGATGAGCAAAGTTGTGGGAGGGATTAACAATGATGTCCACTTGAAGAGGTAGAGCTCAGAGAATTGACCATCATCTGCTCCTTTTGAGGTAACAGTGAAGTTTGTGTTGACACCAGCCAAAACCTTGAGTAAACCCTGGAAGAGAGCAAAAAAATGTGATGAAGCACCTCCAATCACCCAGAACTGCTCGTTTCTCCACCAGTCATCTATGCCAACACCACCCCACTGCATCTCGATGATACCGGTTGCAGCAATAGATATGAAGAGAGAGATGAAGATGAGACTGGCATAGTTGCTAATCTGTAGACAGTAAAGCATGCTGAGTTAGCTGGAAAGTTCATCTGCAAAGCAGTAGTTCTAATCACAATAAACAAAACCACAGGTATTCGTCATAAGATGAATAATCCACATAGCATGTTTTATTAAATAGTCATTTTTTGAAGAAGATTAGAGGAAAGATGTCAAGGCTTAAAATAAAATAATCAGAGAATTATGAAGTTTTCAAGTCAGAGAGAGCATTACCTCAGGAACGATGAATTTCCCAGTAAGAAGACAGATGGCTGGCAGGGTACAGTAAACAAGCAAGGGAATGGATGTCCAAGGATACACCACTGAGTTTATGTACGAGAATCTTTCCAACCATTTCAAACCACCCCCATAACCGTACCAGATCGGACAATGTCTACTAAAGAAAATCTCAACAGATCCAAGAGCCCACCGAAGAACCTGGTGAAGACGATCTGAGAGATTGATAGGCGCCGAACCCTTAAAAGCAGGTCGTTTAGGAATGCAGTACACTGATCTCCAGCCATGGCAGTGCATTTTGAATCCCGTCAGGATATCCTCAGTCACAGAGCCATATATCCAGCCAACCTGGTACAACATTTAAATGTTTAGCCTACAGCATGGAATAAAAATAGAACTTGCATATGAAATGTTTTCAGAAGAATACTGTTTCAACTCACTTCCTTTCCCCATTCTGTTTTGTCTTCGTAGCCACAGCTGATCACTTGGATGGCTTCCCTCAACAGTGACGCTGGACTGGCATCATGAGGAACTCCGCCATTCTCCAGAAGAGTGGAAGCTACAAAAACTGGAGACTGCCCGAACTTCTTCTCCAATTTCATTTGCGAAATACCAGTATATTTCACAATGGCTAATTCTGCAATAGCAGCCAAGTCTTTATCATCAGAACTTGTCTAAATTTAAAAGCGAAACACAAATATGAAAGTAGCAAGTTGCACATGTGGCAAAACTTACCTTCCATTCCCTCTTCAATATTCTCAAGAGCATGTATTTGCTTTGATGTTTCCTTGTTCTTCGACTTCTTTTTCTTATCCTTTGGTGTCTTTGCCTTTTTGTTCTTTCTAGATCCACAACACAAACAGCACCATCTTGGCCAGCAATTGCAGGTCTTACCAGGAGGCTTCTTCTTGACTGGTGCATCATAACCATAAAGAGCATGCCTTCTGAAAACACACCCAGTTCCAACATATATTGGTCCTTGGATGCCATCTAATCCTTTCATGTTGATCTGTTTCAGTTGGAAATGAGATTCTCAGACTATGACAGATAAAGGATAAAGAGCAAAGAGACGAGCACTTTTTTTTTTAAATCAGCAAAGAGAGGAACATTAACATACATCAAAGAACACGACATTCCGGTTTGAGTATCTATCATGACGATCAATTCCATCAAATCTTTGCGGAAACTGCACATAGCAAACTTTTTTGCCTGACTGAGGATCCATCATGAAGCACATGGCTTCTCTAAGAGCTTTGCTGTTGTTAATATAATGATCACAATCAACATTGAGAAGATACGGAGCATTTGAGAGAACTGCAGAGACCCGTATCTTCAGAAACAATAACAAAACAAGACAGCTTAGTTTTGGGAAACAGGTTAATCATCAAAAAGCGTAAAACAAAAAACAGAAGAGTAATCTGGAGGCATTTTTAGTATTAATTTGAAGCCTCACCAAAGCATTCATGGCCCCAGCCTTCTTGTGATGCTCAAAACCAGGTCTCTTCTCACGAGAAACATATACCAGACGAGGTAATTCATTACCATCAACATCACGCACACCACTATGGCCAAGGAATACCTGTGCAGCAAAAAAATTCTCTTTATATGGGACAAATCAAAGATCTTGTTCAATACCAATTAAAGAAAAGAAGATGACACATAACAGAAGAGTGTTGTTTGTAAACATTAAAGATATCTCACCTGAATCATTCCAGGATGGTCTCGTACATTGTTTCCAGGCCATGGAGTCCCGTCCTGCATGGTCCAACCATCCTCAGGAACCTTTTGTGCCGTGGCAACCAATGCATTTATCCTAACTTTGAATTCTTCATACTCTCTCTGTAAAAGTTCAAAACATCAATTACAAAACCTTTAGAACTTTTATGTAAAAACCAGAAAACTGATGGGAGCCAATGGCTACACATGGTTATTTTAGATCTTCAGTTGACTTGATAAATGGACATTCTCATAGAACTGAAATCAATTATGTATGTCACACTGGAAAAAACATGATAATGGTTAACAAACCTTCATTGCACGTCTTTCTCTAACAAATGACGGATGAACTTTGTTTTTCAAATAGTCAATCTTCTGACAGAAATACCACTCTGGAGCTCGGGGCTCAATACTAAATTTTTTACAAAAAGGGACCCATTTCCTAGCAAATTCAGATGTTTCAGAGAGTGCTTCAAAAGTAAGCATGGCAGCACCATCATCTGATACATAGCATGCAACTTTTTCAACTGGATAATCAACTGCAAGGACGGATAGGACAGTGTTTGCAGTGATCAGTGGAGGTTCTTTCATAGGATCGACCGTACTCACAAAAACATCTACACTTGCCAACTCTGATGGTTTCCCTTCTTTCTCATATCTGAAAATTAAGGACCAAATGAGGAGACAACATATAAAAGAATGACAGGAAAATAAACTAAGAATGTAGACATGATTTAAGAGGAAACAAAATAATGCCCAATAATCATGAGAAAGTTTCCCAAATTGTACTAAGTGAAGTTCAACTCAGTATACCTGATTGACAGCCTATCAAGGTATGTTTCTCGCGTTATAGGGTACCACTTTGGAAACTGATCAAGAATCCATGACACAGCAAACCATATTTCACAGATTACAGATGTCAACCAGAGGCCATATGCATCATTTACGGGATGAAGAATTCTATAGTGAAAGAATAAGCCAAGAATTACAAGTCGAAGAATGATTATCAATCTGTATGGGCTTATTTTGCTTGAGGGAACTGGTAACTTCCTTGAAAGTGGCTGCCTGCCTTCATCCATCCTGACAAATATACCAACAAAGCTTATAAGTAGCATTCGAGTAAAAAAATTCAAAAGAATAAAAAAATTCAAAAGAACAAGGATGATAATGTATAGAAGTTACAATATTGTTGAGACACAACTCCAAACAATTAACATGATAGAGTTCAACACATGTTTGCACAGGGGAAACTGTCACATGCATGGAGGCCTCAGAAAATATACTAAAGAGAACAAAGGAATGCAGAAAGATAGCTTATGGTAACCAGACAAACACATATCCAAATGGAACTGAATCTATCAGAACACAATCAAGAGCACTTTCAACCTATACAAGCTTTATGCAAAAGCCGGAGATGTAAAGGTTCACAGATTCAAGACCATGAGAGAAACTCCAATCCAAAGCATAGTTGCTTAAATGATTGGTAAAGCTGACATTTAGCAATTCACTAGGAAGCATCTCAACAAAGGATAAAGTAAAGCAGGCTCCTAGCTTCCAAAAAGAATCAACAGACTATCCATGTATTCTTCTCCTAAACCTTACTCAAACTTGCCCATATATGGTGTGAACACATATACATAATTAATTTTAATCAGAGAATTTCACGAATTCTCTTTTTGTCATTCACCACAAGGTATGCCAAGGGCTTTAAACTCCATTAGTAAACTCAGTTAAGAACAAAAGCAAGCAAATTTTCTTCTATATATCTCTCTCTTAATCGCAGTATTTCAGTCTAAGCTTCAGGAATAACTTCAAACAGCTGCACAAGCCTTATGCTCCTTAAAATTGCTTATAAGGCTTGTCCATGTAGTCCTGAAAAAAAATAGCTAAAAATAGGTGGGCCTAAACATTTTGGTGACGGATATCTGTGGTACACTAACTTGTTCCAATGACCAACATGCAAGCTGTAACAATTTGCTACAATGAATCATACACTTGTACGTCCTCCACATGTGATTCTTCTCAATGATCCTTCAAATCTTCTTCTTTCTCAAAAACTATGTCATACAAGCATCTTGAGTTCTTGATTCAAAGCCAGCTAGAACAAGAAAGTACAATGGTTTCAAGCAGCACTTACATTGGCAAATCAGGGTCATCCAGTTCATCTCCATTGAAGCTGCCACCGTCATTTCCTCCTTCATGCTTAACTACCTGAAGTTTTTCATTTTGCCTTTTCTTCCAATCCTCCATTCGATCCTTCCATGCAACACTCCCATACCCATAAACAGCAATGTCTTTCTGAGGAACCATTGGTCTTGGTTGCACTATGACATCGAAAGTACCAAGTTTAGCATAATAGGAATTATAATTATGAACAGCACAAAACATAAGGATATACGAATTGAGAACAAAAAGAACTTACAAGGTGTAGATGGATCAGTATAAGGCATTGGATGAACTCTATTTCCATGACCCATAAATGGGGGCACAATTAGAGCATGTTGATCAGAAGAAATCTCAGCATCCTAGAACAAAGAAAGCAAAAAGGTATTACTATGATGTCTATTACATCACACAGAAGCATATACATATATCCATGAGTTTCGCATATATATATTCATGAGCTTGGGAAGATGTTCAAAAACACAGACAAAAGAAGACAAGTACAGAGGGACGTAAAAATTGCTAATGAAATCACCTCTTCTCCATAAGTCAAGAGAGGAATATTAGAATTAAGGGGAGAGGAATCCAGTTCTGAGCGTGCAGGGATTCCAGAATTAGATCGGGAACGTGTGGACATTGCACCCTCCGCAGCTTGCTGTGGGCCCAAACCATCAAGGTTCCCATAATCAAACTCATTATCTATGTCATCAATATCATCTTCTTCCTCATCACCCTCAACTCTTGGACTTCCTGTAATTTATGTCATGAGTTAGAGGCAGTTGCTATGTAATGCAGAACTTAAGAAACAACACAGGAGCAGTCTAACCTTTGAGGCGCTTGTATCTCGTTTTACACTGTGGGCAAGCCTGATTCCCCTCTCTTCTCTCATACTCATAGCAGGGCCTGCACACAGGAAAGGCACATTCGTTGCAAGCCACAAATAACTCCCCATCCACTGTAATCTCAATCTCATCGCCACATATTTGACATGTTTGCCCGCTCAATTCTTTAACAGACTTTATCTGCACAGACCACAAAAAGAAAAATATGATCAGCACCTGTTGTGAATGGTACAATTCAGCAAACTAGCTAAACAGAATCAGCTTAACATAACTTCCATTTACTACAAACAAAAGTGAAAGTAAAAGAAAGAAAAAGAAAAGCTCAATTTCAGTTGGCTGAGCTTGATGTATGATTCATACCCCTAACAAAGTAATTAACAGTAAAATTATTCCATATCTGTCTTCTTTTCCAATTTTTCACAATTTTCTAAGTAAGGACCCACAGTTAAAATTCAACGTAATTACGGTGATTAACATCTAAGATTACAATGTCATTACATTCAAAAACGATCAAAACCAGATGGTGGTTTAACTTCTTTATTTACACTTCCCAAATCATCATTCTTTGCAAGTTTCTATTTTCTGCACATTTTCCTTGACTGCTTTACAGAACTAACACTCTGGCCGTCCTCCTCTTTCTGTTTCCGTGTTCTCAGTCTCAAATTAACTCAGATCACCACGGCAAACCCGGATCTAGAAGAACAACACTTGCAGCTCACAACAAGTCATACATTCCACTTACTCAAAAGTTTCACTCCAAATTTCCAACATTCAAGAACTCCAACGACAGTTACGATTATCTCATAACAACAAGCATACAATTTATTGGGAATGTCCACAAATCTGGGAAATTCTAAATGAGCCCTTTACTGAAAGTATAAACATTAATATCAGAATAGAATCTAAACATTGTTTCACAAATCAGATCAAATCCTATAAAACCTGAACTGAAAAAACTGAAATACACAAATCTAATATATCTTCAATGGATGTAAATCCCCACAAAAGCTCAGAATTTTCATCTAAGGACTAAAACGTTTATACTGTTAAAGTGAAATACTGAAACAAACATACACAAAAAGCAAGTCAATTCATTATCCAATCAACAAGAAAACAAAAACCCCCCAAAAAGAGAAAAACCAAATCAGAAGAAATGTACTCAGATTGCAACAAACCCAGATCAGAAAACACAAAATAAACCAAATGGGTATCAAAAAAATCAAAAATTGAAGCGAAAAAAGGCAGCTTTAGAGTGTCTTACTCTCGCATTTTCATCAGCATTAATCAACACAAACTCGTTTCTATTATGAGACCCAGCAATGAGTCTCCCTCCAGTGTCCATAACTCACCACCGACACCGAAAAAACCACAAAGCCACTTGCCAAAATCGACTCAGAACTCGGTCATAAAACTCAATCACTCCCTGAAACTCACTCAAGAGATCCACTTCACAAGAGTCTGCTCCTTAACTCCCACGACAAAGAAACAAAAACCCAAGAAGAAATGAAGCCCAATGAGAGGAGCAATAATAAGGAAATAAACAATGAAAGCAAATGGGTATTTCTTATTTTAACAAGCCAAGTCTGTTCTGTAACCTGGCTGGACTTAATGGAAATCCAAAGAGAGAGAGAGAGAAAGAGAAAGAGAAAGAAAGGGTTGAAAAATGGACGCGTAATTGAGAAGGAGAAGAAGATGAGTGACAGAGAGACAGAGAGAGAAAGGGATATGCTATCAAGTGAAATGAATTATGTTAATCAAGCTTTGAGCTTAGGTAGACAAATAGAAAACAAAAAAACAAAAACAAAATCATAAAGAAAATAGAAAAAGAAATTGAAGAAATTGAAAAAGTAAGAAAGAAAGAGAGAGAAGATGATGGTGGTGGTGGGGTAATGAAGAAGAGAGAGCGAGAATAGTGAATGAATGTGAGAGAGAGAGAGAGAGAGATGGTGTATTGTGTTCATGTGTTGCCCCCACCGAGGTCAGTGACAAGTGACAACAACTACAACAACAAAAACAATTTCTGAATTTTCTCAACTATTCTATTTATCTATGCCAACAACTGTAATTAATTGTAAGAGAGAGAAAATATGAGTTATCACTCAAAAGTGAAAGTGTTTTTTCTTGTTTTGACAAGTATTTAATGAAGTCCTTTTAGTTTCCAAAATGACAAAATATACCCTTATCGTATTTTAAATTTTTTACTACTCATAATCCTCTTCTGATTTGATATCTAATTATGTGCCTTACAATATAAGAGTAAACAGATCTGGTTAGTGTATACGTGTAATATATTTTTACACTGAAATCCTTTTATTATCTTAAAACACAATAAACTTTTATAATTTTTTAAAATAACAAAATATGTCCTGACATATTTTAAATTTTAAATGGCTTTTTTATTAGGATCAAAACCCTTTTTCTTGTATCAAAACTCTTTTCTGATTTGATATTTACCTTTCGAAGTACAAAGTAAACAAATTTTAGCACACATGCTCATTAATATATATTAATTCCAAAACATATTCTTATTAAACATATTTCCAGATTGATGATTATTGGTTAAAGCTCAAATCAAGAGAGAATCATAATTCTAATTTTACGATGGTTCTTCTGTAATTTGACCTTAATATAAGGGGTTAATAAGACAAATCAATTTATATTGACAATTTTGGGTTGGGGCAGAACTGTGCAGTTGTTGCTACAGAAAGCACTTTTGTTTTGGTTAGATGTTTTGTTATGGTGGGTTATTCCTTTTTTTTGTATATTTCTTGAGGCATGTTTGGATTCTCATTTTGTGAAAAAGCTTTTTGCTAGAAGTACTTCCAGTTAAATCTTTGATTCTTTTAAGATTTGGTTAAAACTCTAACACTGACTTCCTCCAAGTTTCCTCTTTTCTTTCTTTAAATTTATTTCCAAAATTGTTTAAAAAAAAAAAAAAAACATAATAAAATATTTTCTCTCTCCATCTAAATCCAAAACAGACCGCTTTAGACTTTAAAAAAGGAAAACGCGTTCATACAGAGAAGACACCATCTACGCCGCGTGAACAGATCCTATTTATTGGCTTTCTTCTCTAACTATTTTTTATTTTACTATTATTTATTATTTAATTTATTTATGGTAAACTGGATAAAATAATTACAACTTGTAAAAATAGAGTAAGCGTTTTTTTTGTACGGATCGGTTTTGACCGTGAAGCAACGTTGACTTTGTAATTAATATTGACTGCTATTTAAGAGTTCAGATCTCATTTAACTAATTTAGATTAAAAGTTAATTGCTGGATTAATTAATTTGGAATAGAGCAAGTTCTAAGGCACCACTTATTTTTTTTATACCACAGGGGAATATTCTGACGTTCTATTCAAATTCAATCAAATTATTTTGTATGAAATAATTGTTGGACGAAATTACGCCCATAGTCAAGCAAGGTAATTTGGTTCGGATTTTGAAAAAAATCAAGATAACCGGTATTTGTAATTTTTTTTTTTTTTTACAGACTTCCCATTTTACGCGATAACATAATTTTTACTAAAAATGTTCCCAATTAATTTGCACAGATTACTTCTAAAGCAAAATTTTGACCAAACTTTATTAGTAAATTATTTGAGTAAACCTACATTTAGTTTTAATATAATATAAGATCGAAATACGTCATATTTCAATAAATTATATATTTCGTGTGACAATATTAATTGTCAAAGATTTTTAATCAAAATAAGGTTTAGAGCTATCTAAGTTCTAAGTTGTGACATACATGTTCACTAAAATCTAAAGTCATAATTTAATGAAAAGGATGATCATATTTTAATAAGATGAAATCCCTAATTTCATTAATAATACTTTAATTTTAAAATATAAATGTAAAACATGTATATATTTATAAATAAAAAACTTTCACATGCTTATAATTCAATCTCTAGTTAAGAAATATATTATTCAAAACGATTCCAATTTTTAAATTATTATTTAAAACACCCTCAAGATAGATCAATTATTAATTAAGTTAAAATTAAAAAAAAAATATAATGAAAATATATCATATATAAACTCAAAACCAACAATCAATAGGTAGTTCTTTGTTACGTGCATTAAAAATTTTAAAACGTTCACACAACACATATTCAAATAATTTAGATATTGACGTTCTCCGTATATAGAATTTTAATATCAAAGAAAAACAGAAATTTATTGGACCTAAAATTGGCAGTACACGGAATGATTTTTTACGACCTAAACTCTGTTGGGGACAAAGTGTGCAAAAATACAAAATATCTTTTATAAGACTTTGGACATATTTATTGCCTACTAGCTGTCAATTAATGAATTTATTTTATAATAAATCAATTTTAATTTATTAAAGTTGTAATTTTAATTTTTAATTGGTCAAATCAATCAACTTATTAGGTTGCCACGTCACATGTGCTTTTTATTATAAGGTAGGTATTATGTACTTAGTCTCACTGCCACATGGGCACCCCACTGTCGGTGGACTTATTTTATTTATATTTATCTTTCCAAAAAGAATTATAAATATAAATAAAACAATTAAATAAAGAAGAAGAAGGAAGGTTGCTTCGCCTATTTATTTTATTAAAATAATTAAATTGCTTTTGATTTGGGTTTGATTACGTTTATCATTTCACAATAATTTTTTGTTATTAAAATAATTTCATATAAATATGTTTATTTGTTAAGATTTCCAGTTAATTAAGAAATAATTAATCAAGATTTCGTATTGAAAATACCATTATTTTACAAGATTAGGCTCAATTTAAATTAGAATTTGAATAGAATATTTCCTTTTTTAAAATAGGATACGTAAAAATTTCAAAAAATATGTTTAGTTCAAGTAATCAAATTAATTTAAGTTTTAACTAATTTTCGGATTATATAATCAGAAAACAATTTTTAAAAACTAAAATATGATTCGAATTTAATATTTTTAATATTTGAAATTATATCTATATAATATAATTGTTAATTTTTACTTATACTCCAAAATTCGACAAGATATTGGAATAATATCTTAATATTTAAGGCACTAAACTGATTTGGCTGCAACCACTTTTATAATTACACCATCAATACCAATTATTATAAACACAATAATTAAGCCAATTTTGGACACATGGCGGTCTCTCATTGGTGGAATATTACTTAATCCATGGATAAAGCGATGATTAACTCTCACACGTGTAAATTTTCTGTTAGTGGCAGCAAGCTTTTTTGACCATCATTTGCTTTAAGTAACTCTTTGTGTACTTCGCTTTCCGCAACTTGAAGTCAAAGTAAAAAAAAATAAACAAAATCAACGCACGTGATTTGATTTCATTTTCTAAATCTAGTAGCCATTTGATCAACTTGTCTTTTTTGTTTCGTTTTTTTCTCACACTAAAAGGGGTCTTGCCCAAGAAAAAAATATGAAATTTATTGATTTTTAAATTATTAAAAATATAAATAAGAAAATAAAATATTTATATTTTTTATTAAATTAATTAGATCTACCTATAATTAAGCTACCTCCCATAGATTTGACTAGAGCATGTGGGATTAAGAGAGAATTTAGGATGAATTAATAATTCTAAATTAGGTTTCTTAATGTTTGTCTTAAGCTCTGCTTGAGAGTTTTACGGTAACGATTATGAGGGTAAACCATCATAGCGGTTTTGAAGGATTTTTAGTAGCGGTTTTTAAAGCACCCAATCTGTGCTTAAGAGTTTTTTTCCAGTGGTTCTAACCGTTTTGTAAAATGATAAATTTACATATATGCCCATAAAAATACCCGAACTTTAACCAGTATTTAGGAGTTTTTTTTTTTAATTACCAATACTTAGTATCAAAGTTTCTTCCAAGTTTAATTTATTTGTAAGTTCTTTCATTGTATAGTATTTAATTCATCACACAATCATTCGAAATCTGTCATTTTAAAAGAATAAATATGCTGCTATAATATTGGACTTCACAAATTATCAATATAACAGCCGCAACAGCATTTCTAAAGAACATTTTTTTGTTCTTTTCTTCAATCAATGAAGCAAAGCCATAAAAAACAATCTTTATTTAACAAATTCACAAGGATTCAATCAATCACCTAAACGCAAATAGAAAGAATCAAATTGAGGAAAAACCACCTAATTTTGTAAAACAACTGGTAAAGAAATACAATTAAATTGTATACAGCCTGCAGAGGAGTTTACCAGATTAAAAGAACAAAAAGTTGAAAGGGAGAATGAAGAAGAAAGAAAGAAAAACCTTCATATCTCTAATGAAGGATTAGAAAGTCTAAGATAAAAGATTCAAAAGCATTGTAACAGTCATCTAAAAGTTGAAGATTTAATGGGGTTTGAAGAAATTTTTAAACCAGTAAAGGGATTATTGTATATGAATAATAGTGGAAATGAGTTTTTTTTTGGATAAAATTTTTAAACCAGTCAAAACCAGTCCATAAAAAATCTAACAAGTAATAGTTTTTAAATACGTCAAAACCAGTCTAATTAAAAACCCCTTAAAACCAGTGAAAAAAAAACTTACAAGGAAACCCTTAAGGACGTATGTTAAAACAATTAAAATAGTAATTACAATTTTACGTTTAACGAATTTAAATTAACTAATCACATTGTTTTTAATTCGAAAGATATTTTAACATTTTTTTGAAGTATTTTTAACATTCTTATCATGTGTCCTAAAATTGAGAAAAATCATCTAAAA